TAATTCCCAGCTAATAATGTGGTTCAGTCTTGCCCAGTAGTACAGTTGCGAAAATGGTGGCACATGGAAATGCCAGCTTTTAGGACCCCTGCCACATTCCTGGGCGTTCAGGAATGGTCCCAGTTTGGCTAGGTTGTTTAATACCGCATTACTTTAAACCCTCTCAGTCCCAGCTCTCTGCACAGCTAAATCCCTTCACCTTCAGATTGTACAAAGTTCAACCATCTGAGTTCACTTTCTCTTAAAAAAGTACATGTGTGTGTTAGGGGGAAATGATGCTTCCTTGTGCTGAAGAGACAAACTTGCTTTCTAAGTAAGCTTATTTTAGCCAAAAGGCAGGAAATTGCAGCATACCCAAACAATTTAGGTACCAGCCCTGACTCAGCTCACCTATTTAATCTCACACTTTTAAACTTGCTTGGTCTTAGCAATATCCACGTGCTTTCTTGCCATTGCTCACTAGTCAACACACCCCCTGTGAAGTGTTTCCGCATGTGACTGCTCCTTTGGAGGCCACCTGACAGCCAAGGAAGTGGTTTAGTTTTCATGGGGTCATTTACACCACCCAGACTTTCCTCAGAAAAGTGATTTGCACTTAGAAAACAACCATCCACATGCAAGTCCTTGCTCCATTTCTGCATCCTTCCTGAAAATACATGCATCAGTTTTGACCCTCCTGGAGGATGCAACTTTCTATATTGTCTTCACCAACCTTCTGAGGAGTTGCCTCTTGTCCCAGAAACTCCTTTTAATAGCATTTTCTAGCATTGCCTCTTCTTGGATTTTCACCAATTTCATTGCCTTGCAGTCTACTCCAAATTGGTTATACTATACTCCACATTCATGACACTTGCAAAGAGTTACCAGTAGTCTTTGACCTGTAGTCTCTATTGTCCTGTTAAAGATGGTCTCTACTAGCCTAATAACAGTGGATTATTTAGTTGCTGCTGCTCTGTCAGTGATCGAGACCCCTCAAGAACCTCATGAGTGCAATCTCTGGAGAAAGATACCCTGAGTGTGTTGTTAAAAAAACGGAAGAAAACAAAACCAAACACCTGAATGCCTATACTCAAATTCCTAAAGGTCTCCCATGTGAAACTTGAAAGAAGGCAAACTGATTTAGGTACTCTGCAAGCAGAGCTCATACATATAACTAAATTGTGCTGCCAAGCGTCAGCTGGTCCATGATGACTGACAGTGTGCAAGCTCATAGCTCTCAGCAGAGGTGAGAAGAAAGTCAGTGAGCCTAAATCTTTTCCACTGGTGTTTTAAGCTAATGCTGTTTATTTCCTATTTGGGGTGGCTTGAGACACCGTTGACACCGTTGCATTGATGCATGCCAGCTCATTTAATTATTGCAACTCAGTCATATATCTGAATTTGCTGCTATACATCTGTAGCTTTTGAAGACGAGCTTTGAAGTGGTTGTAGAGCCAAACAGAATTTTCCAGAATTTTCAATTTTCTTGTTGAAGCAGAGGTCTGAGAATACTTGGGTGGTTGGGTATTTTTGCAAATTCCACCAGCCTACTAAATACCTCTGCAAGTCTGAGCAGCTCAGTCAGTTTAGAATATGGGATGGGGCCCTTGATCACTTAGGACTTTTCTTGTGAAGATCTCGAGATGCAGATCTGAGTTCTCATTTGAGGAATATTTATATTCAAGCTTCGCCTGAATCCATTCTAAAAATTAAGTGAACAACAAAAAACAAATCTGCACTTCAATCCTACCTCTTCTTAGAGTCTGAAGCTCTGTTGTTAGTCCAATAATTTGCCATCCAGACATCTTGAGGTGAATTTTTTTGTGCTTTCTTGGTTTTGAGGAGAGGGGCACAGTGTGTGTGAGTGTATGTGTGTGTGTAGTAAATGATAGCTAACAAAACATAACCAAAGACATTAGGTTCAACTAGAATTTACTTGCTAGCCACACTGTGGTGAACATGCAGCCCTAGCACAGTGGAGTGCACATGGCATTGTGCAATTTCAGTCAGCACTCAAGGAGCCATCAGCTCCTTGAAACTTTTCCAGGGGCCATGGTAGAGAGGATATTAGGGGTCTGCCATCCCCATCAGTAAGAGTTATATTTATACCATTGGAAGTTTTCTAGAACATACTTACGGTAGTACACTACTGATTAAAAATAACATAGCATTGCAAATAATGAGGTGAAAGTAAAGTTTAGGGTAAATCATATCTCTATGTAAACATTGGCTATAAGTTACTATAACCAAGAGTGTCTGCCCCGGGCTGTACATTCAGGAGTATGACAGAGCTTGACATTGTCTTGCCTCTGTGGGAGCTCCATTCCTCCAACTGACCCCAGGGAGGGCCGCTTTGTCCAGGACTAGCAGCAGTGGCATGAGTAAAACCAAATACTGATACTGGGATGCCAGATTCCTGCAGCGCTCTCCCTTGTGGGGCTGTACAACAGCTTACCACCTCAGCAAACTTCTGTTGCAGTCCGAAAGCACTGGTTCAACAACAGACCCACACATCCTCCCTCTCTTCCCTCAGCTTTCTAATAAATTCCTGCCTTGCCCAAAAAAAAGTCTCGTTTTTCCTTGACAAATACCAGCTAAGTGAAAGTTCTGAAAGTTTGATTTGAACTGGCTCCCACTGCGACAGACGTCTCTTGCAGATAAGGTGGGGCCAGCTAGAGACCACCACCAATGTTAAGCCCAGTACTGCCCACTGATTGCCATGGTGAATGATTCACTGCTGACCTAGGGAATCGCATCACCTTTACCAGTGATTTTAGTGAAGGACAGCATAGAAAGAAAGCATGGAGATTTTTGGGAAAAGCTGGTCAAGAACAGTGGATTGAGCATGAGCCGTTGACCTAGTCTGTGCAGGTTTTGTTGTTAAAGTTATCACAGATTACACAGGATGATGGAAAACAAAAGGTAGTTTTTGCAATGCAGCAGTATTACCAACTCTGATCAACTGGTAACATGTGCCTTTGGGAGCCAGAGAAGGAAACTGAAGGAAAAGGAAAATAATAGGTAGGTAGGTAGTAGGTATGTAGATAGATAGACGAATAGATAGATAGATAGATAAATAGATAGATAGATAGATAGATAGATAAATAGATAGATAGATAGATAGATAGATAGATAGATACGAAGGACCCAAAACACAATCAATTTTTTTGTTGGTTTGGGGTTTTTTTGTTTTTCTGTTTAAATTAAGATTGTTGCATTAAAAAATCATTTTCTGTACAGCCTGTCATTGAAAGAGTTGTGGAATGAATTGCACATATGTCAAGGGACTGTGGGCCCTTACCACCCTATTATCTGAGCACCTCCCCACATTACTGAAAGGCACAAAGCAGTAGAGCAATATAATCTCTCTTACCTTGTTCCTTATAAATGAATTTTAGAAAAGAAGGGGTTTTTCTAATATGTGCATGTCTAAGAGACTAAGTGTGTGTGTTTGTGAAAAATTATTGATGGAAAGGTGATGGAAGAACAGGGGTTTGTGAATTTGTGAGAGGAAAGACGACAGAAATTGAAGTGGTAGCCTGAGACTTTCTATTTTATGCTCTTCTACAGGCCTCCTGCATGGCCCAAGGAAAGTCACTTGTGCCACAGGCACACAAAGGGTTAGCTGCAGCAGTGTTTGGCATTGCAGCCAGCTACCTGCATGATATCTGCAGCCATGAGATAGGTGGCTGAGCTACATATATAACTTAAAAGCTGGGGCAGGGGGACATGGAAAGGAAGGCTTCTCTGCATTGTTCTCTGTAGGACTGGTAAGGAGAGTCTATAGTAAGGGCACTGGCAAAGTAAGTTCTGGTTTTAGAGACAGTACAGGTTTCAGAAATACTCTTTACAGTTTGCAAGTGGGAAAAACCATCAGTAATGTTAATATCTCTAAGCATTTCAGGTATGCTCATTAAATGTGTTACTCATATCCCTTTTCAAAAAGCATTTTATATTCTCATACTGAACATGTCATCATCCCCATTGTAACACATTCCTACCCTAGACAGACAGATTTGAATAGGAAAGACAGGCTGACAAGAATCCACTATATCACTTAGAAGCTAGATGTCTTTAGTTGCCTGCCTTTTAACTGCTCTTAGCAAGCCATCTCTCAGAGATTGGTTTTGCTTTCAAAGTAAAATGCAACTGTAAATCCATCTTAGGGATCTGTACAGTTGAGGTATAAAACCCCTGTTGTTTTCGACAGCAGCAGAACCCCCAGCTCTGTGCAATTCGCTTTACATATTTCATGGTTGCCAGTTATTATGCTGTGCTGTGCACACACACATCGCAAGCAGGAAGTAGGAACAGCTCAGCTCTTGGCTTCTTCAATCTCAAGAGACTGCCATGAAAGTGAAAAACACTAAACTAAAACCTAAGTATCTGTTAGACCTTTAATTAGCGACCTAAGGAGTGTTTGCCAAGAGGAAATTTGAATTCAATTATCCAAATAGAAAGTATTTAACCTCTCAATAGCACTCAAGTAATTATAATACTTGGGATTTTTTTTCAGGAACCTTAAAAAATAAAACAAAAAACAAATTTAAGAAATGGTAGATTTTGTATCACATGGCATATACAAAAGAAAGCTGTAACACTGCCCGTGTTTTAGGCATATTAGGACAGAAAGGGACAGCCTCAAGCAAGGAGGAGCAGGTTGCAGGATTCTTGATTTCCCCAGTGAAAGAGCCAGCAACAGCATCAGGGCCAATAGTGACAGTTTTATATGCATCTATACAACAATAAACACACAACTGAGATCAGCAGGTCATTTCATGCAGCTTTTAATGTGATAAAGATGCTCAGTTAGTGCCAGAAGGATTGGGATGCATCAGAAGAGGCTGTATATTCCACTGCATTTTTCAAACATTAGTCTATACCAACCAAGCCGTTCTGGATTGCAGCAGCTGTTTCAGCCCTGATCCCAACTGTCCTTTCACTACACGCCCACCCAGAAGTTTCCAGAATTAATCCCAAGGGAAAAAAAAGTCACTATTTTCTTGTTCCTCTCTTTGCAGACTGTAGGTTGCTTTGGGATTATGTTTATCAGCTGCTTTCTGACAGCCGGTACGAAAATTTCATCCGATGGGAAGATAAGGAATCCAAAATATTTCGGATAGTGGATCCCAATGGGCTGGCCCGGCTGTGGGGAAACCACAAGGTAAGGAAGCAATGCAGTTTTCTTCCTACAGCACTTCACTTCTTGTAACAACATAGGATTCACTTACAAGCAGGGGGAATAGGAAGAAAGCATGTGCATATAAGCTACTGCTGCAAAGTTGTAATCTTTCATTCTACGCACATTAGAAGTATAAAGCATCCAGCCTCAAGCACTAAAACCTACCCTTCGTATGGAGAACCTGTTGGTTTGGTTTAAAGGCATTTACTTATAAATGCATTTAATTATAAAATTACAAGGAGTGCAAGAATTAACGGTCCTTCTCTCTCAAGGCATCTCATTTCTTCCCAAAACCTGATGCTAAGGATGTTCTGGTTAGATGTAGTCTACAAAGAGCTGTATATTATGTCTCATCAGGAGCTTTCTGTCTGTTTTCCTGTCTGCACCAACATCCAGATTTCACACACTGTCCTGTGGCAGACACCAAATGCTGCAGGATTATGTGTTTCCTTTTAAGAGTGTAATTCTGCTCTGTTCTCTGGAAGACAGTTACTGATTTTTGCAGTTTGGGACTGCGTAGGTATGGATTATATAGCCTATAATCGTGATAAGGTCAAGATTTTCTCCTGTGACTCAGTGCTTACAAGAACATCTGTCTTAGAGGTCTTGGGCTGCAATACTGGGAGCAGAATGTTCTGCCCTTACCCAACCTCCATGCTAATATTCGGGACTTGCCATCATGTCTCATGTTGGGTGTCTAAAACTGAAGCTACTTGAGACCACGAGCCACTTGGGAAACACAGTGGCCTTTAGCATATAAGAAATGGAAAAAGCACACATGGTATTTCAGGAGGCTTCCCAATGAGCAGAACTTAGATTTTACAGGACAAACATGGTCACTGTTAGTGATTAATTGCCACAGGAGCTCTTTGTGTGGCTTCCCTTAGCAGAGCTGTTGTGGTCAAGGCAAGCAGAGGAGGTCTGCTCTTAGGGGGCATTTTAAACATGGCAGATCAGACTCATTTAATAAATCCAGGTCAGCACTGCAGCTTTCTGCCTGATCTTGGACTGTGCTAAACCAAACTCCTAACATGGAGGCTCACAGAGCAAAAGCATGCTTCTACTAGTTTGGCACGTTTTGCCCTTGGCAAGGCGGCTGCTTTATACTCATGCTGACATGGCTTTGCCAGTATAGTTGTCTCTGTGATGGGATTTTTTTTGCCAGCATAGTAACCACTGCTTGTTGTACCAGAAAAATGCTCTTCATGTAGACATAGCCTAAGGGACTGATCCTGCTATTCTAAGTCAGTACTATGGGGGCTGCCCACATACAGCTCTGCTCGTGCCTTGTGACACTCAGTGCTCTGACTATGGTCTTTGGGGTCAGCAGCTCCAAAAATGAAGGGGAGGCTCTGTCATAGAAGCAGATGTACACCCTAATGGGCTTCTTGATTTACACCTGTATAACATGAGGAGAAATAGTCTCTCAATCTCCACAGTGCTCTGTAAGCATTAACTAGTTAATGGAGGGGAATCCCAGAGGAACGGTGCTCTTGGCAGGGATTGCTGACAGATTCAGTCTATTAGCCACTGTTCTTACGCTTTTACAAAAGGTGGTTTTCATTAAGAACAAGCCTATCACGTCCCACTTGGCATCAGCATCTCCATCTAATGTCTTCTCTTGTGGTTGACGAAGCCTTTTGTTATCTGTGATCCAAGAAACTAGAAAAAAATCACTTGGAATTTTTGTTAGACTTCCTTGCTTAAATTGCCCTCAATGAAAAGAGACCCATAAAAATCTGGTGATGAGGGCTGGAGGGGCAGGATGGGCCTGCAAAGGAGTGGAACATGTAATTTCTTGAACTAACTTGGTTACTTTAGCTAGCTGTGATAGTTCTGCAACTCCTTGTGGGGCTTAGGAAGATTTCAGTGAGTCATCTCACCACATTTTTCCTTTTTCTCTTGAAAAAAACAGAACAGAACAAATATGACTTACGAGAAAATGTCCAGAGCCCTACGCCACTACTACAAACTAAATATTATCCGGAAGGAGCCAGGACAAAGGCTTTTGTTCAGGTAATTTTTTCTTTGCCATGTCTTTCTACAGACAATTAGTTTTTGAAGCTGGAGAATGAAATTGTGTGTGGGATACTTCATCGCCACAGCTATAACACAGGTGACAATGGACATACATTTGTAAAAGCTGTCTAAACCAGTGCTTCCCAGCTTTCAAGGCATCTGCACCAATTTACAAGCCTGTTTCAATGATTGGTGGAGTCAGTAGAAGTCTTTTCACTTGCTTCAAGCAGGCTGCACCATTGTTTAAGACCTTAGCTAAATGATTCATGATCTTAGCCTAAATGCTGGAAAAGCCACTCCAAACTGGCTTCTCAAACACAGCTGATGGTGAAAGCTAAGCAGGGATCAGGCATTTCCTCAAGCGCATCAGCATTACAGAAGAGAAGTGCTGATGACCATGTCTTCAGCAGTGCTGCCTACAAGGAAGAAAGGGACCTGCCAGAGCTGTTCATAAAACCTAATGCGACGGATTGGATGATACAACCAAGAATTTAGGAGGCAGTGTCTGAAACAGCATTAAAGCAGGAGTTACTTGTACAGACTTGAGTGTGGCTGGCAGAGAGCAAGAGCGCTCCAGTTCTCTTCAGACAAGAACAGTGAGTCCTAGTGCGTACATCTGACCCACAGAGCACTGAACTCAGACCAAAGGCTGCTTTGATGTCACTGGTCTGGAGCTAGTAATGTGCTTGGAAATGGTATCAATAGGAAGGCAGTCTTGGAGTTTGTTTTATTAAATAGCTAACAGGACTGCATGAGCACTCAAACTATCTACAGCTGAAGAGGTTTCTGTGGAATGTCTTGTTTATGTCAGCTCTTAGAAGGAGACTTAGATGGGGGAAGGAGAGTGAAGGGAAGAACGAATCACAGGCAAAATCAACTGCATGATTTTTTTCTGGAAAGTTAAAACAGCAGCAGTACGAAGGGAACCTGTATCACTATGGCCTTGTGTGAAGACTCTGCTGCCCTGGGGGAATTCTGTGATGTGGAACAGCAAATGTGCTTATCTTGGAGCCTCTCCTCCAGTGAGAGCAAAAACAAAACAGGAGTCTTCTCAACCAGGCTGCCTATTTTCTGAAAACTGTAGAAACTTAATACCCTTGGAGACCTCAGTTCCTCTGTCAGATTTGCCCAAAATTGACCAACAAATTCAAAGGTCACTGGGGAGCATAGAACATGAGCATATAAACCTCATTTCCTTCGGAAGCTGGAAAAAAAAACAACAAAGCATTTTTTGCACAGTTCCCAATAAAAGCGTTTTGATCTTGTTTTCTTAGACCTATTTATATCTGAAGAGAAAAGAAGAACAGCTGCAAAAAATCAAGCCATTAATGTGCCTTTCTTGGCTATTTCTCACAAGCATAGAAATAATAGGAAGTGTAACTATAAGTCTCATGCAGATATCTGTACAGAGCTTTAAGTAAAATGGAGTCAGAGAAGGATTTCTAGTAGGTTGCCTGAGTGTCTTCTACAACAGAAGAGGTCACAGGTACTGTTTCTTCATTAGCTTGTCTTTCTGGGTTGTTTTTTTAAAATTTAATCAAATGCTGTTACAAATACCCATGCTTTGAGTTCCTTGACATGACCTAAAACAGACCACAAAGAATACCTGAAGCACTGCAGTACAGTTCACATCAGCCCATTTCCCACATGGTTTAGGAAGCAGAGCAGACAGAAGGTAGGGAGGGCAGTGGAATCACTCTCTGTTTTGATTTCCTCCTTCTGCAGGATCAACAAGACAAGCCCAGGGTTTAAATCAGGGCATGGGCTGGCCCGTAGGCCTTGGTGCATTTTCACTGTGTAGCCAAGGACTGATTCACCACTTGTGTATGCTCGTTTTTGACCACGGTAACACCATTTATATCAGCAGCGTTCTTCCAGCATACAAATGGGAGTGACACAGCAGTGAGTCACAGCCCTCTTTTTTTTTCCCCTAAATGCATATGTGCGCATGATTTCCAAAATTAGAAGGGGTGGCAAAAGGTTGATTCCAGGCTGTGCTATGCATGTGCTGAGAGACTTGAGATTTTTCAGTCAGAGAGCCCTCAGCTTTATAACCTCAGAAGCAGAAGAGGAGGCAAGTCTTGCCCATGAGCTTCAGCAGGGACTTTTCTGGGTCAGTGGTAGTAACAAAGCTCCTGTCAGTTGGTTTTGTTTTCACTGGGACAAGAATACTGAGCATATCATCAACCTGAAATAAAATCAGCTCCTCCGATTAACGCATTTTGTACTGCTGGATGTTAGCCAGTACGTCCTTAATGAAAGGCTGTGAAATTTTGTAACATGTCCAGCATAAACATCTTTCATCCTAATTTCTCCAGAACTACTTACAGGTTAGGAAAGTAATTCGTGTTTAAACTAGGATTTCATCCTTCCTGTGCCACTCTCACTTCCTATGCCATTAAATTCAGGTAGAAAAAGCAGAGCTTTTCCATGCTATCCCTGTGCAGTAGTACACAAAAGCATCCTGGCAGAGATCAAGACTGCAGACTTGATCTGCAGGCTGGTGGATGTCCTTTCCCATTTCCTACTGCTGCCATGCCTCCCTAGAGGCAGTTTCTGTTTCTAGCCCCTTGCAGACTCACTGCATCAAGACATTCGTGCTGGGAGCTGTGGCATTCATTTACAGAGGATGCTGCTTCATTACAATTATGCTTGCTACAATCACACAGGAAGAGACTGTCTTTGCTCACAGTTCCTTAGCCAAAAAGCTTTTTCTTTCAGGGCTTTTTCCATTTCCCAGAACTTATTCTGACTTGGTCCTTGGCTTTTTCCACCACTATTCCTTTGGTGTTTCATATTCTCTTCACTCACCTACACAGAAGCCTGCATTAACCAGTAGCTGTCTGCTTCCCCACGCCTTGCAAGTGCTTTTGCTGTGAAATACGCTGGCCATAAAGGTCTTGAATGTTTTGTTTCCAGACACCATAAATGAGTGTAGCTGTGGCATACTATCATCTTACATGACAACAACAGACAATATGAGGGAGAAGAAGGAAATACCATTTGTTTTGAAAGCTCTATGGGGTTTGGTTCAAATACAGACTTTCAAGGAGCAGGGGTAAATGCATGTGGTTTTTTTGGTTTCCTTTCAAGGTGCAGAGGAGGGAAGACACCAGTAGGCTGGAGAGAAGCTGGGAAATACTAGGGACTGTTCATCAGAGACTGTAGTGATAGGACAAGGGGAAATGAGTTCTAACTTAAACAGGGGAGATTTAGGTTAGATATAAGGAAGAAGTTCTTTACTGTGAGGGTGGTGAGGCATTGGCACAGGTTGACCTGAGAAGCTGTGGCTGCCCCATCCCTGGCAGTGTTCAAGGCCAGGTTGGATGGGGCTTGGAGCATCGGGTTGAAGAATCCTGGTCTAGTGGAAGGTGTCCCTGCCTGTGGCAGGGGGATTGGAACTGGATGATCTTTAAGGTCCTTTCCAACCCAAACCGTTCTGTGATTCTGGGATCTGTAGAGCTCAGGGGCTGCAACATCTTGATGAACGTAAAAACTGAGACCACTGAGAAATCACTTATTTCTGTCTTTTGCAGGTTCATGAAGACCCCAGATGAGATTATGAGTGGCCGAACAGACCGCCTTGAGCACCTTGAATCCCAGGAGCTGGATGAACAAATATACCAAGAAGATGAGTGCTGAAGGCAACTGGTGCACCGCCTCTGTGGGTCCATGGGAGAAACATCTACCCAGATGGCTGGCACGGTCTGGGAGGCGAAGCAACAACACAGAAGCAGTACTTGGGGTCGCCGCTTAGCTTGAAGATCATGCAGGACCTGAAGCACCTTAACGAAACAAACTAACAGGCAGAAGTGGTGCTGGCAGAAAAGTAAAGGGGAGAAAGCCTGGACTTACGCACTACTTCACTGTTCCTACAACGTCTCCCTTGAGTTCTTTCTTTCTTTTTGGTTTGTTTCAGTTTTGGGGGGTTTTTTGTTGGTTTTTTTTTTTTCCCTAATAAACATGCAGTTTGACTTTCCTTATCTCACATAGGACAAGACATCAGATTATGCTTTTTGGTTTTGGAAGGCTTTCCTATGGAAATAGAGTGCTCTTATTTTCTGTGCAAGTCTCATGACCTAACACCGCATAAAACAATAGCAACACAAGAAGGGATTTGCTCAAGGGTTCCAGTTTGCTTGGATCAATTTACATGTGCTGCCACTGGGAAATGTGTTGAAGCTACCAAAAGAATTTACCACACATACCTGTCCAATGAAGAGGAGTCACCCTTCATGTGTAGGCTGGGATATCATCCCAGCATAGTTTGGGCTCACGAGCCCTGCGAGTGGCTGTTAACTGCTGGAATATGGACCAAAACCAATCACCTAAGTGCTCTGGGGAGGAGAGAAATAAATGTGACAAACCTCTGCAGTAGACTGATGTTGACATTTTCCCTCCCTTTAGCAAGGAAGTGATAGAATGGAGCAGGGGGAGGGAGGGCAGGGACAAATACATATATATATGTGTATATATATATAAACATTTCATATATATATATATGTATACATATGTAACCCCCACAATATTGACAATATATCCACAATGCAGAATTTCAGCTCAAAGCTTTTTGTAAGAAAGCAAAGGCTGAAGCATTTGTAATTACAAAAGGGAGGGATGTTTCTCATATGCTAGCAATTTTGGGGTGAAAGGTTAAGGACTGTTCCTTTACGTGTTAGGGAGAAAGCAAAGGGACCCATCACATGGTTTGTGTTACTCAGAAGCCTCTTCAGGATCATTTTGTGCTGCTGGAGAGGTAGGTGATTCACCAATCTGAAAAATGGTGGTAGACAACTAGAGACCAAACAGCTGTACTTATATCTTGTAACTGATTTTGGCTTTGTTTCCGGATTTGGTTTTTTTTTCATGCATCCCACTACCTTCCCCCACCCCACAGCGCTGCCATCAAGGGAGGTTGTCTCAGCTTACCTGTTTCTGACATGATTTAAAAGCCAAGGCAAAAAGAAACCCTACAGCCGTGCTGCTTTCTTGGGTTTTGGTTTTGTTCTGGTTGCAAGGTGCCCCAGTTTTTCCACCCCCGATTTGGTTTGCTGCACTGAGGGTGCTTTGCATGAGGCAAGGAGCTGTGCATAGTTTGGTCACAAGAAGCTTGGCAGTCCTTGATGCCCAATACCCAGAGGAACTACTGGGTTTTCTCAATTCACATTGCTTGAAACACCATGACAGGAAAGTGTGTTGTGGTCCTGTTAATGGAAGGAAGATCTAGCAGCAGAAGTGATGCTTGCAAAGAGAGAAGATGTGTAGAGAAGCTGCAGGAATCACATGATGTCTGGAAAAAAGCACATCCACACACAGTTCATTAAAACTAGAAAGCTTCTTTTATGGGAACATGCATACTAGACATGGAAAAAATCAATGTCTAATCTAATCCATTCCAACCAAAAAGCAAGGTACATTCTCATAACAGAGCTTTTATCAGCTATTAAACCAACACAATATTTGATCTTACCACATATTTAACAAGGGTTTATCCAGGAAAAAATGGCACTGAGCAATTAACAGTGTCCCCAGTGTTTAAACACAGATAGTCCAGTCTCACAGGAGACTGAATACTGACTCACAGGTCATAGAAGGAACAGCTTTGTTAAGGGTGTAGATAAGCATCATACAAGGAGAGATTTCTCAGAGTGAGTATCTGATGAGGAAGGACAGGGTGTACATCTCTCCATGAGCTTTTCCCAGCCACTTCTTTTCTCTGAAATCATAGTCAATATGTTGAAGCCCCAGCACACCATGTACTTTACTTTTCTGCCTCAAAAGAAAAGAAAGACGACACAGGAATGTGTAGACCTGTTACCTGTCTCTGTCGTGACTCGAGTCCTTGGAGCTCATGAGGTGTGAGACTGGGAAACACTGAGGAACTTCAGTGGTCACAAATCTGAAACCAAAGGTCCCCTGAAACCAAGGAGTAACTTTGTCACCCTGCTCGAGGGCACCCAAGTTGTGGCCATGTCTTGGGATCTGGGGTGGAGAGGGCATGGTGAAGAGGTGAATATGATTGATAGATGAAGTGTGATCAAAAGCATCAAGGCGCTTACTGGTTTCTTGTGTTTTGTAGGGTGTTCATTGGTAGAAAGAAACCAAGTTCATGCAGAGCATGATTTATATCCTTTACTGCTCTGGTCTTGACAACTGCATTATTTCATTGTGCCTGCTGCAGCTACTGCTAAGATGATGAGGACTAGAAAAGGTGATGGGACCTTCCATATAGAGTGCTTTTATGAGCCATAGGTTTTTGTCTCTGTCACAGTGACTGCAAAATACAGATAATGAGAGACAATCCACCAGTATAAGCCCATCTGCTCACTGTGTGTGCTAGAAAAGTTCATTAGAGTTAAAAAGCAAAGAATCCTGAAATCACATGTGTTGTCCCACAGGGAAATTTTCTAGGAGAAATTTTGTAGAGGCAATATTCACCTTTACCAAAAATGCAATCACTCTCACCTGCAGAGTCTGAGTCAAAGGGGAAAAACAATCAGTGGCTGTTGAAACTCTTTGAGTTCACAGGTAAAGGATATCTTAAGAGAACTTCTTCTCCGTCACAGCCACAGAGAAGAAGTTCTCAAGGCTGATGCTAGCTGGAAGGAAAACAGCCTTTGAACTTGGAGCAGGTTGATCTCACAGAGGCTCTCCTGGCTGGTACCGTCCCCTGCCTCCTGCCAGGCCTGCACTGAGTGGCCAGAACTGCAGGGGCCTGGGACCTGCTGTGGGAGCTGCAGGAGCTCAGCTGCTCTGGGGTCTTGGAAGCAAGTTCATCAGCTATGACTGAAACAAGACAATAAACCCAGGCTAGAGCAGCTGTAGTAGGCAGATTCCCGTCTACCTCACATCCCGGGGGCAGATACATGGAGAGCAACACAGCATTAGTGTACTGAGCTACAGGAATGCTTGGCTGGCTGGGCTAGCAAAGGTAACGCTGTCTTTCCAACAACCCTGATGCCTGCCTTCCCCTGATGCCTGCCTTCCCTCCCCAGTGTCTGCTGTCTTAGTGTAGAATTTGCCAGCAGCAAAGCAACCAAACTTTCTGCCTTTGCCACCAAAACAGGTGTGAAAAGGAGAGTCTTGTACTTGGAGACACTCAAAAGCCATCTGGGCATGGTCCTGGGCAACTGGCCCTAGGTGGCCTTGCTTGAGCAGGCGGGGTGAACCAGGTGACCTTCAGAGGTCCCTGCCAACCTCAACACCCACAAAGGATTTTCACCCTGTGCAATTAAGTGGGACCTTCATTGCCATCAGCTTGCTACAAGTCTTGCTACAAGTGTGAAAAAGCCACAGGCTGGTCAGGTAGGACATGCTGCAGTTCCCCCCACAGCAGGACATGCTCTTGATTCAAGTTTGAAACCCGTTGCCTCTGCATCCAAAGAACGCTACCAGGGCCCTGCCTGTGAACACTAAGTCGCTGCCACCCGCCCCAGGTTTCAGACTCCACGCATGAATTCTCCAGATGTCAGGCTGCAACCATGTGCAAACCCAGAATGCAGCAGTTCGAGGTCTTCTTTTTTTAATAAACTCCTAGACTGTTTTTGTTGATGATGGCTTTTTGGTTTTTTAAGGTGTGGGGCTGAGGGACTGAATCAAATGAATGTAACAAAACAAAAAAAAAACAAACAAAAAAAGCCTATTCTCAGGGCCAGTGAGTTGCAAATAATTTTTTAAATGCCTGTAATTACATCATCTCAATAAAAAAATTTAATATAAAAGTGGGAATGCCAAATTTTGTTGGTGCAGTCATTGCTACAAAGTCCCTTCTTTTTAAAACCTGTGGTACCCAAGCATCCACAGCAGATAGCAGTTTCCTATCAGGAAAAGAAACCTCCAGGCTTTCCATGCCCAAACAGGTATGAGCAGTGCCTGAATCATTCCTGGGATATGTTGTTCGGAGAAGGTAAGGCTGCCCCTTGGAGTATTTGTTTTGCTGCCTGCCCTGAGGGATGAGCAGAGAACCACATAGGGCCTAGATGGGTGTACCTGGTTCTCCTTCTTTCTCTTGGAGAGGACATAGAGATAAAAAAGAAACTGAAAATGAGGTGGTGTGATGACTTGCATCGTTTTTATCATGCTAAAGAGGCCAGGTCAAGGAGTTTGATGTGTTCATAGCAGCAGTCAGATTTGGAAACCAGTGCAGAAAACCTGCTGTTAATATTTTGCCTTTCCAGCAAAGGGGTGAGGGGCTTTATTTTCCTGTCATCACCCCTAACAAGCAAGGCACAGGGATGTGCTAGGTGCTTAGGGGACAGCAAGGTGAGGCAGCACAAACTTCTCGCTGCTGTCCATCAGTCCATATAGCGGCCCCTGTCTGCTGCACCATGGGGTTACTACAGCTTATGGTAGAATGAGGCCCATGGAGCTCCTGCTCCAGAGACATGCGACCAAATGCCATGGCAAACACATCTGGTCAGTGCCATGCAGGCCACATCTAATGCTCTCTGGTAGGAGCAGTTTGCGGTAGGTTAAATCGTTCGGATACCAGCTATGGCTCAGGATGACCCCATGATAATCTGGCTGATCTGTGGGTTGTCCACTCAGCTGCTCCTTGCTTGGTATTTGTTCTTGGTTTTCTTTCACTGTTGTTTTTAAACCACATGGCAAAGGAGTAAGCACTAAACAAACCCCTCTCTGAACCAAGGTATCAAGCAAGAAGGAAACAAAGTGTGTTGCTCCATAATTCGGTCCCTCCAGGCCGTTTCCCTTCATTTTAGAAGAGGAAATAGATGTATCCCACACACTCTCCCAGCTTTCTGTGCACTCTGAACAATAGCAAACAGTGCAGGTTTGAAGGCATACAGAGGAAGTTCTTGGTGATCTTGGCTATCACTCAGGCGAGGATTAGTCTCAACTCAAGAACTAGTCTTGAGTCCAGAGAGACATTAGAGAACGTCCTTTGGAGGCTGCAGGACAGAAGAGGCTTGGCAATGCATGCCCAATACATCTTCCCCTCTCATTTTCAAGTTTAATTCAGCTATAAAGCAAAGCTACCGCAGGCCAGCATCAGCGTGGGCATCACGGATGATGCAA